GGGGGGGGGAGGGCTCACTAGTCAGAGTGTCCTGCCAGGGCCTGGCCACATCCCACTCTGCTCAGCTGTGTGCAAGGGAAGGGAGGGCTGCTCTAGTGCCCCCTGGCTTCTATCCTGAGCCACTGCAAGCATATGCCTGCATTTCCTCAGTCCAGAGAGAATGTCTGTCTGGTTACAAACCAATTCAGCCTAGCCAGGTTAGATTAACCTGCAAAGATAGAATCAATTCAGGCTCAGGCTTTTTGAATGTCTGTCCCTACCCATTAAGTTTAGTGCCTGTAATATGAGGTACTAGAGAAAGGCCCAGTAGCTGCACAAATGCTCAGTAACAAAGGTGAATTTTTTTTGTGATGCCTAATGCGCAGCAAACTAATTCTACTGAGCATTAGCTCTTTAACACAGGTTTTGCCATGATGTGCTAATGCACAGTGGAATAGTCCTGCCCTGCTGCCTACATATGTCCATAGAGAATTAAACCTAGTATCCATAAAGTCAGCTTTTTCTCATTAGAACTGGTAGCAAATTAATTGGAGGGACAGTAGCTGAATGAGACCACTGCATTCATTTTGGCTTCTATGCTTCTAAAATATTTATTCTATTGGTACCATGTTTCTCTATGAAAACATTTGCATTTTGAGTTGTTGATTTGCCTGTAGTGTGATGCAGCTGAAACCACACAAGAGACACACTTTTAACAAGCAAGAAAATTAACCTAACATTTACATAGTCACCTTCCATCCCAAATGAAAGTCCTTTGCAAGAGTAACAGAGTTCAAATCATCCATCACTAAAGTGCAGCTACATGAGGTGAAATGCATCAGCTGGGTAACAGGAGGCAGCTCCTCTCCAAGCCATCTTTTTGGGACAATAAATGAAGAGTATGCCATCTGAGTGAGATCTACCTTGCAGCATGTAGTTTTATTTGAGTGGAAATTTTGCCAGGACTCCTTAGCTAACACCACTCCCCTGAGCCATGTGATTGGTATGCTTAATGATTAGAACCTGGTGTGTGTGTGTGTATACGCGCATGTGCACCTGCATCCCGAGTGTGAAAGGGAACACAGTGGCCTACAGTAGCATAGATTGCAAGAGCTGGGAAGAGTCCCTCCTGCTGAGTTAACCCTTTCTCCTGACTGGAACATGTAGATGGCTCTTGACTATCTCTCATTCAAATAACTGGCCAAGCTTAACTCTTCTTAGCTTGTAAAACAGAAGAGGTGCTTTAGTAACCATTTCTTGCTGGCAGCTCTCCTTCTGCAGGCCCCTCTGTGGCTGGAGCCATGTAGAGGGGTCATTTCTGTCAGCCCCTCAAGGATTCCACCAAAGGTTTCCATAGGGTTAGCACCACCCAACCATAGTCATTGGGCTTCTCTGCATTGCAGTAGCGTAGTTTACATGCACATGCGTCTTCACATGCACATGCTTACTACATGGTAAATCTCACTAATCTTGAGTAAATTTGCTATCTGTGAATGAAGTAGCAAATTTACTTTTGATAAGTAATGGCATGCAGATGCCTGGCCAGGAGCAAATCTGCTCCCTGTCAGCCATCAACCAGGGGGCGGGAGACTGCTTCCTGCCCCTGGCAGCTGCCTGCTGCCAGGGCGGGATCCACCACCAGAGCCCAGGGAGGAATTATGTCCTTCTGCCTCTGCAGCAGGGAGCTCCAAGCACCCTGCTCTGAGATGGTAATGGGGGAGTGGGGACTGGGAGATCCTTAGGGCTCTGCAACTGCAGAGCTGGTGCTGGGAGATAAGTGTCTCCCAGTGCTGGCTTCACAGTGCAGAGACGGCACTGGGAACTCCCTGCTGGCGGGGGCTGAGGAACCTGTTCCCTGCCCAGCTCTATGAGCATGGAACTGGGTGGGGAACAGGTTGGGGAGCTTGTTCCCCACTCAGCTCCGCACTCACAGAGCTGAGTAGGGAACAAGCTCCCCAACCTGTTCCCCACTCAGCTCCACGCTGAGGGAGCTGAAAGGGGAACAGGCTCCCCAGCCTCTAACTTGCATGCAGGGTAGGTGCTGGGAACTGTCCTGGTCAGAGGCAGGTCCCAGCCCTGTGCCCCAGTTGGGCGATCAAGACATGGGGCTTGGAAAGAGCTGCAGGGGCTAGAATCTGTCCCTCCCTGGCAGCTCTTTCTAAGTCCCCTTCCCCTGAACAGGAAGCCAGGTCCAGGGGACATTGTCCCCACCCTGGCAGCAGGCAGCCCATGGGGACAGGGTGTAATGTGGCCCTGGCCAGGAGATAGCAGTCTCCTAATCCTACCAGTCTAGAGCTCCCTCTGGTGGTTGCAGGGGCCCACTGCAGAGCCCCAGGAGTGGGAGCAGCTTGCTCCCTCTTCCCTGCATGTATAGACACCTGGCCAGGAGCATTTACTCGCAAGTAGTTTACTCGCGAGTAAACTCATCCCAGATCAAATGCACATGTAGACACACCCAGTTCATCTCACTTCAACAACACATTCTTGTCTCATTGTGTGCATGCAGCTCTTTACTATCTGACATGCTTAGCCCTTTCTTTTGGAATTTTTCCAGGCAGGTCAGTAAGCAGCCCCCTCCAGGTCTCCTCAGCCCGAACAAACTGCTCTGCTGCTTTCCTTTCTACAGCCCCAACTGTCTGGCTCAGAAAAGAGAGCAGCAAACTCCTTGCTGCTGCTCTCACAATCCCCAGCCTTCCCCAGGAAAGACCTGCCACCTACTGCAGCTCCCAGCTCTTCCTTTTAAAAGCCCCTACAATGTTCTTCCTCCATTTATTAGCCCAGGTGCCATTCTTTCCACACTCCTAATCAGGTAAGGAAGGCTGCCCTTGTTCCTTCGCAAGAGAACCTGCCTTGTTTAAAAGGGCCAGCCCCTCTGGAGCAATACACTTGGAAATCACAACCCACCTTGACATCGGTGGCACATTTTCTATGTTCATGAGTCTGCTCTGTATTTGCTGATCTTGCAGCTCTGAAGGATGACTGAAAAGTCTAACATTTATTTCCAGATTTGTAATATCCTAAAGGCTGGGGGCTGGCCTGCTAAAATCAGAGATTCTGCACAGGAAGTCAGTATCTTGTTTTATATGGAAGCACACAGAATAGACTCTCTTTTTCTCTAAGAGCAACATATCTAAGTCAGCCTTCATGACCGCAGTAACTGAAGGAGTCTTTTCCTCCTGTCTCTTGTTCTGCATTTCCTTGACATGTATCCTTCAAGAGAGATGGTGAGAAAGGAGGGAAGCTATCAGAATATTTCAAATGAAAGATTTTTGTTTTTTGAATTGTCCATTTCCAGACCAGCTCTCAGTACCTGGATACATGCTGTCGCTAAAAATATGTCTGTGTCCAATGCCAGACTTAAGCAGGGACAGGAAATGGCTGAACTGTTACAGATGCACATTTTCTCCATGTTTAACAACAGTTTTGCCTGAAACGATGTTTAGGGTTTTTATGGAGGAAAAGGTTGTCTTTGGTTACCCAATCCCCTTCAAAGTCACACTCCATTGGGAGCCTGAATGCTATATTCCCCTACTCACCCAGTTCAGCTCCTGCAAATGGGTAGAATTTACCCATAAAACCTCAAGCTGTCCCCCTTCTTCTTGCTTGTCTGGCTTGGATTTACCTGCTGAGTGCTTGATAAGTGCAGTGCTGTTTCAGGGGGAGAAATGTCTCTTAGGTTCTGCTCTTTGGGAAAGCAGGTAAAGGTTTGTGGTGGTTTCTTTCCCTACTGACTGGTGGCCCAAGGAGAGGACGTTCTGAGGAGCTCTTACAGTATAACAGCTGCTCAGTAGCTGAAGACCTCTATCCCATGGCTTCTTCTGGGTTGCATTCCTCAGAAAAGCACTAAAAACAAGAGGTGACATTTATTGGATTTCTGTGAATTCACGGATTTTGCTGTGGCAGTCAAAGTACTTGAGATCCTTCCTCTGCCCCTTCACCAGAACACACCTCTTTGGGGCTGTTAGCAAGTGGTTTAGCACCCTTTCCAGTCTAGCTGAGGGACCAGCTATGAGGAATGCACAAGAATTTGGGCAAGTCAACATTTTTAAGCAAAAATTCTCTTCCAAGCCTCCTAAAATGGTCTTTTTCCCTAAACAAGAAATTCTCATAAGGAAAAAAAAAAAGGTTTTATATTAAAAATCATTGATTTTTTGAAACCACTGGTAAATGAAAAATTCAGTTATTGTTTTTTTGGTTTAGCATTTCTCTTAACTGCCTTTGTTTTGCTCTCTTTCTCTCTGGTTTTGTCAGGGGCAGGGTGGGAAAGGGAAAAGAGAAGAAAGGAAACCCCCATTAAATGAAAACACTCACAAAGAAATTGAATACATGAGAAAACGCTCCTTTCCTCACCCAGCTGGGGAATCACAAAAGACCAGTGCTGTAGTGCCATCACAAGTTATTAGACTCCATAGTATTCACTTACACCTGTGCTCACAGCCCTACTCACAGACCCATTTAACAGTTCTCCCTTTTTGTCTCTTATTATTAAGCTGCTAAAGAAAGTGATCAAAATAGGAGACACGTCCTGCTTGCTGCCTATCATGGATATTTTCAAAGATGAAGACAGGAAACTGATGCAAACTCACTGCCATTCCAGGGCTATAAGCATCCTGAAGAACAAGCAAGGAGACAGCTACATCAAAGGGGCTATTGCTTACCTTTCCTTTGCAATCATTGCAGCAGGTAGGTTTAAGGAAGTATATTTAATGAGAAATTTATTTCTGTGAGAAATTGGACTGGTGTGTGGACAGGCTTCTCCAATTCCTTTGCATTATTTCTTTTACCTTTTTAAATATAATGATAAAACTCAAACAATAGTTATACTAACAAGCATGAATTACTCAAGAGAAAGGCCCTTTATAGTGTGATCATTCTCTTCTAGGTTACTGACTTGAAAGCAAGCCCAGGTACACAATAATCAAAGTCCTCCCTGCCCAATAAGCACTCTGTCAAGGGTGTGAAATGAGAGCTCTGGGCTGAGTTCAGTTTCTAGCAGACAATGACCCCATCTCACCACAATCACAGATGACACGCATGATGGAAATCAAAAACTGTACTGGCCTGGACACTGGACCCCTGTCACTTGTCACCTGAGCTCCACTTCAGATGCTCATTGCAGTTGCATGTGCTTAAAGTTAAGGTCTTGCTCCTGACTAGGGCCAGAGTTCTCAGTTCATTTCAGCATCAAGCCATGAGTTGATCACCATCGGTTCCTACAGGATTTGAATGGCCCTCAACATCACAAACCTAGATGTTTCCATCTAATGACTTTACATTTGGTTTACAAACATCTCTTTGCTTCCCCTGCATCACAAGTACAACGTGAAGCATGCATGGGAAGCCTGGCATGTTACTGTCTTAATTTCCTGCACTACACCTGGTTTCCTGTTCTGGGTCACCAAATGGCAATGTCTGCTCTGCTATTGTAGGGTTACTGCTGAGTGTTGGGTCTGTGAAACTGGTTCATCACTGTAAGTACCTCATGCCTGTGCTGCTTGATCACAGGGTTAATCAGAAATGCCATCCACTGCCCTTGATAGACTTATACAGTTGAGCAGAATACATATTTCTAATGCTGGCAACTGTCTTCTTGGAAGCTGACGTTACACCCTTCTCTGCTCTCTGTGGGTGGGTTTCTTTTTACTGATGCGACAAAAAGCTTTTAAGATTAGTGCCATGTTGGTGCTTTGATGGGGAAAAAACAATCTGTATTTCCCAGGAGACTTTATAGTTAATATAGCCAGCCTGGTTCATCAAAGAAGCAGAGACATGTCCAGAATAGATGGATGCAGCACCAGAAACTCATCAGGAACTACAGCTTGCACTTTCGTCTCAGGATCTCCCATTATTAATACCTTCCATGTTTCAGGGGTATAGGTTGTAGCCATGTTGGTCTAAGGTCATAGGCAGGCAAGGTTCTTTGGGTAAATTCAGGGGTATAGGTTGTAGCCATGTTTCAGGGGTTTAGGTTGTAGCCATGTTGGTCTAAGGACATAGGCAGGCAACGTTCTTTGGGTAAATCCAATATCTTTTATTAGACTAACTAAAATAGTTGGAAAAATTCTTCTTTGCAAGTTTTGGGTACAAACACCCTTTGTCAGGCTGAGGAAGCATCTGCAGTTGGTTTGGGATGTATTTGGTAGCTGTGTTGGTCTGAGACAAAAAGGAAATGCAAAACTCTAGAACTCTTGGTTCAGAGATGATACCTTTTATTAAACCAACTAAGAAATCATCAAAAAAAATTATGTTTTTCTGCAAGCTTTCAGGCTCATGTGCTCTTCATCAGTCCAATGCAGCTACCAAAGTATCCCTGAAACATAGAAGATGTCGAATTTTAGCCAATTTTGAATTTTAAACTTCACTGCTGAACAATAAGAAGGATTTCTACACCTCCCTGCTTGCCATCTGACACCACCAGGGAAGGAATCCTGCTTGATCTGTACAACAAAGAGCAGCTCACAAAGACACTCTCATGGACCCAGAGGGACAGACTCCCATCTTCAGCTTCCTCTGTGCAAAAATGAAGTTTTTTTTTTGCGATTTCTTAGTTGGTCTAATAAAAGGTATCATCCCTAAACCAAGAGTTTTAGAGTTTTGCATTGCAGTTTGTCTGTGCTCTTCCTGGAGGGAATGGAATAGAAGCCAGAGGCCAGTATGCAAGAATACCCATCAGTGAAAATGCAAACTGAGTCAGTAAATGGGTAAGAAACAGAAGGTGGCGGAGAGACCTGGTGATAACAATATAGCTGATAAATAGTACAGAGGTTACACATTATAACCTGCCTAACATCAGATACCCCAGGTAACCTCTCTACTATTTACCAGCTATATTCTTATCACCAGGTCTACATTCCCCCACCACCTGTTTCTCACCTATTGAATGCCTCAATTTGCATTCTCGCAGACTGGCCTCTAGCTTCTGTTCCATCCAGGAAGAGCACAGACCAACTGCAGATGTTTCCTCAGCCTGACGAAGGGTGTCGGTACCTGAAAGCTTGCAAAGAAGAATTTTTCCAATTATTTCAGTTGATCTAATAAAAGATATTGGATTTACCCAAAGAATCTTGCCTTCCATTATTAATGACACTTCACAGTTTCCTGGTGGATCAGGTATGGATTATTATACCCAGGTGAACGGAATAAAGTACATAGACCTGCACAGGGAGCCCACACCAAGATTAAGAAAAGGACCCAGGAGTTTTTGATACCGCCCTTCAATAACCAGTAGACAATGTGCTTTTGCTGAAAATTTCTAACCAGCAAATGACTGTATCAGTAAAAGCACAGAGTTGGTTGAGCCCAAGAAAGGAAACACATACCCAGTTTCACAGAGTGACAGGTTACAGGGAAAAAACATGAAAGTAACTCTCAGGAAAGAATAATCTTTTGTACCATCTCACCTTTCTGGCTTGGGGGTGAAAGGAAATGGTGGGATTTGTCTCTTCTTTTGACTAGTGCTCCTGAAGTGTCAGCTTGCTTCCATTATGTTAATTTAGGCCCGGAATGAAAACAATGTCTTCATGTGAAAAAGGAAGCAAAAGCTCAGAAGACCTCAACCTTGGGGATTCCATTGGTTTCACATTCCCATTTCATCTAGCTTCTTCCTCAGTGGATAATCAGACAATGGAGGCCGGAGACTAACCCCTTCAACCCAGCTAATCCCACAGGCTTCAGCGGACCAGCCCGAGAAGCCGCATCTTGTGGATATTTTAAAGAGTGTTATAGCAAGGGTAACCCTAGAAGTTTTTAACCATTTGGTTGCTTCTAATTACATTTGGTGCATGACATCCAAAAGATCTGATCAGGAACATAGTTAAAAAAAAAGACTTGATTCCAGTGAGGGGAAAAAATTGGCCTCTACTTAGAAATGCATGAGGGCCTCTTGTGGAACTGGCATTGTTTAAAGCCTTTAGAGAAGGTGGTGCATGTACATTTACAAAAATCAGCACAACCGTTCCTTAGAAACAATGGTCAGGTACAGACATTACACTTTTACGGTGTAAGTGATTGGAAACCAGTCTATACCCATAACAGGACATAAATTTGGCACCCATAGACTGGTTTAAAAATGGCAGAACCCAATCTAAGATTTGTGTATGTGTGTCCCAAAACCAAAGGGCGAATGTGTGTTCTGTTCATTGCCAATCTAAACTACGCCACTTACAGAAAACTGTGTAACTTTGATAGATTCTGTCTTGGGCTTTTTTAATGTCTGTACCTAGCCAGTAAGACAGAGGGTCATTAAAAGAGAAGCAAGGGCAACTGTTGTGTCCATTGATTCCTTGGCTTTGTTGATGAAGCTGCTGGCAAAGGGGTCAGTTCACAGAAATCACCCAAGCCAGAGATGGGCAGCCAGTTGCCCAGTGGAATGGCTATTGGATTAGTACCAAACTTGGCCACTCTAAAACTAGTGACCTAGATGGAACAAGCTCTATCCTGCTCCTAAACCATTACACCACTTAGCCCCTCAACGGTGATGCTGATTTGATATGTCCTGTTTCTTCGGAGTGAATCTGTCCTAAATATAGCCAGTGCCATGGACCACCTGCCTGCTTGATGCTGAAGTTTCCTGATCCATTTGCCCCCCAAGATGTTTCAGACTCAGTCCTTGCCAAGAGTGACTGCACCTGGCTGCAAGCATCAGTCCTGAAACATTATCTCAGCTTTTCCCAAAGTGGTAGGCTGAGCTCATTTGGAAATGTCTCTGACATGTTCTGCGAAGCACTCTATTCTTATGGAAATTTGACTTTTGCTCAGATAAAATGTTATGACAGCAGCAGCCAGGAGAAGAGAGATCGGTTTATGAATATGAAAAAAATAATGGCTAATTGCATTGAAATGTTTCAGTTTCTGAGGCAGTGGATTGCAGCTTATCAGCTTCCCACCTGCTGGAGCACATACTTGCTAAGAAATAAGCATTGTCTTTGATGAGGACTGATCCTTAGAGCATTAATAACCTTTGGTGAGGAAGTTTAGGAGTCATAAAAGCCTCATTACTGAAAAGGAATTGCTAGGACTGCATCCCCTGACACTGCTCTGCAGGCAGCTGTGTGGAAGGCTGCCCTCTGTGACCTCCCCGGGAGAAAATATTTACAATGGCACCCATGATTTATTCATCTAATTGGGACCATGCTGCTATTGATTGCAACCCTGGAAAATTAAGAAGTTTATCGAAATTGGTGTGAAAGGAACGGGCAGGCCAGTGACTGAGAAACATATGCTGTGTAACCACTGGATGAATGTACTGTGCGCTTTCTCTCCAGACACCTTGGTTTAATGGGGCTGATTTTATTCAGGATCAGAGAAATGGGAGTGCTAGAGGCACATCCTGAAGTACAGTATATTGGCAATACATGAGACAGACTCATTTGAGTAATTATCCTAACTAAGGTACTGTTCCAGCTCTACCCTGTCTTATCCTCCTTTCACTTCTAAATGGTCTTGTTCCTGCATCCCAGCATCTCCCACATCCAGTTTCTTCTCTCTCCCATTGTGCTGCTTCTTTGGGGTTATATCACCATACCAAGTCCTCAGAGGAGTTTTTCTAATCACTTGGGTCTTTGATGTGCTGCCAAAGTTGCCAGATTAGGCTCCCTTGGGGGCTTTTGTCAGGTAGTATAGTTTGCCTCCCTCTGCTGGGCACTAGGAAGGGATGCTGGGGCAGAAGAGTGGCAAGTGGGCAT